TTAGTCATTCTGTGTTTGATTGTGAAATTGTATTGACTTAATTAAGGGTATGTGGTTAAAGGTGAGTGTGAGAACTTAGTATAGTTGATCAATTAGAATAAAACCTTATAATAATAATATAATTGGTAATATATATAATATATTATTATTATTATTATTATCATTAGTATCCTTATTATTTTTAGAATTAAAAAAAATTAGGGAGAAAGAAGTGAGAGGGTTGAGAATATGTTATCACGTAGAAAGAGAGAAGAGGGCAAGAAAGAGCTTGGGCAAGAGGAATTCTCCCACCATTGTTAAAGGAAGAAAAAGATAGGAATTAAGGTAAGGGGGAAAGAGTGGGTTCTTTAATGGTGATAAAAGTATGAGAGGGTAGTGAGGGTTCTTTTCCCTCTTAGATTTTCATGTCTATTCTTCTCCTTGCTTGTGTTTGATTCTATATATATGTGATTGTTGTGGAATTCATGTTTGGTATGATATTTGTGATATGAAATTCGTAAGAATTGTGGATGATATTATGTGTTTTACCATGTTTCAGATCTAGAAAAACATGGGTATTAGGAGATGACAAATTTGTAATTCAAAATATGAAAAATACCACTAGAATTATAGATTAAATGAAATAGATTAGAGTCTTGGGTTGAATACTGGTATGGAAATTGTTTTGGGGTCAAAATTAGGAGCTTGAAGGTGCTCAAATGGGTGAAAAATCGCATTGATGCAAAAACAGAGATTCAGAATTAGCATACTGGCCATACGCGTATGGGGGAAGCCTTACGCGTATGAGGGGGATTACCAAGGGCCTTACGCGTAGGTTACACGCCATGTCCTTAGGGTCGGCTTGGTATTCTGCTTATATACATACGATATTCATAATTGAGAGGACCATACGCGTATGCGGAAGACATTACACGTATGGGACATCTTGGATGAGTTTTTAAAGGAAAACCCCCCTCTGGTCGTACGCTTATGCCATAAGGCCTTACGTGTATGAGGCCTGTGATGTTGGGCCTTACATGTATCATATGTAAGAGCTGGGGCAAGGGATCAATGCGATACGCGTATGAGGCAGGGCCATGCGCGTATGAGCAGGCATGCATGTAAAATTTCCTGTTTTTTCTATTTCTTTCCCGATTTCGTGTGTAATGCAATTCCTTTTGGTTCGTAAGACTAGTATGACATAAATGGACATAGGGAGACCAATCATGATAGGGAAAATGGTAAAACATGGATTTTGTGTGAATTACTCGGTGACGTGTGGTTAATGCTATGTTAATAAGATTGTTGTTGTGCGTACAGTCTTGGGCAGAGAAGGTAATTCTAGTGGGAATTACGGGGAGTATATAACTCACGTGTGATCATTGTGGATCATGTGTTATGAATTAACAATAATTGCATTATGCATAATTGTATGTCATGCATCTCATGTCGTGTCATATGGAGATGAGCCTAGGTGGGAATCCATGATGGATGCCTAGTCTCATCCAGACTCTGTGAGGGATTCGAGTTAGAGATAAGTTATAGTTCAGAGGAACGTATACGACTTATCCGGATTCCGACAGGAACCAGGTTCAAAGAATGAACCGTATGGATTATGTTGGTACCATATGCATGGTGTTGAGTCAGTTGAGTGACGTTGCATGTATGCATGAATGAATGTGTTTTGGAATTGCATGTATGTTATGATTGCGTGATTGGTGAGAATTATGTGATTACTACTTTGTAGCATGTGATTTCATCATATATTTATTGAATGTGATTCTCACCCCTTTTCTGTTGTTGTGTTTGTGCTGCTCGGGGAGTATATATAATCAGGTACCTGGGTAGTGCTTGGAGAGTGTGTTTCTGTCGATCGAGTATTAGGATTTTCTATGATACGTAACACGAGAACTATGGGAACTTGTTTTGTTTTAGGTTGTTTTTCATTTGTTACGTATATTATTTCCAAGCTTAGGATGAACCATGAATTTTGTGGAAGTTATTGTTGTTAAAGCCTTAGTTCTATTGGAGTTGAAATTTTGGTATGACACAACTCAGATGTCCTATGACATGTTGGGACATCTGATCCGACATAAACAAACAATCCTAATGGTTAAATCTTTTAAATTCTAGGTTGGTACTAATCCTAGGTTACAAAGCTTCTATTTATAACTTATACCCAACTCGATTTGGGCCTTCAAAACACGTCTCTTTGGTTGTTAAAAACAACAAAAAATTCTGCATAAAAATAGGTCTTCAATCAAATCTTCCTAAATTATATCCATATTTAGAAAGTCAATATTCTTCTTGATTCTTCTTGACCTACAAATAAGCGCCACATAGGATAATATAGATACTTTATTATCCTCAAAGTATATTCTGTCTTTGTGACTTAACAGAATATACAGATTTTGTTCAGCTCAGGCGTGATGTCGTATGCTTCCTCATAGGACATCTTCTCTGACATATTGCTCTAGATGTTGAAACACTTCAACTCAACATGTCCTAACATAAGATAGGACTTCTTACTCAACCTGTTCCTGCTAACAAGATACCACATCCTATCTAACATATTGCTGCTGTATTTTTTTATAAAAATTAATGCCAATCCTAAGGAACTTACAATCTTCCCCTTTGGCAAATTTTGGCTAAAACAAATACATTAAAAATTACAACCTAATGTCACAATAATACAAAAAAAACAATAGCTTATTCTTCAGAAGCTACTAAGTACAACAACACAACATCATGGAGTCAGTCTTCAGACAAGATGTCAGGACATCTTGTTTGACATCTTCTTTTATCAGCTTCATTGCACAACCAACTTTAGCATCCAAGAGAAGCAACCTCGGGCTAAAAGGAAGGAAAGTCCTGAAGCCATCTGATGACACGAGGAAGAAGATAGTCTTCACTCCCCCTTAACCAAGGAACTTATTCTTGTCACATATGAATATGCCTTTCATTTTACTGGTGACATTAGTCAACTTGGGTAACTCAGAACACAGGTCACAACTGTGTTAATAACTCAGATCACAAGTCCCAAAAGTCAACACCAAAAACCAGAAAGAATAGAGCTTCCTATTCGACACCTTTATGACATATATGGAAAACCAACCTCCAACTTAAGCTGAGCACCACCTTGTGCACCTTTCTCCCCCTTTTTGGCCAAACTTTGGCAAAGGAAGCCTTCACATAACCATACCCAAGCACAGTTCAACCAGAACCGAACAAGTCCCATAATAGAGATGAAAACACCAAACACTAACGAGGGAAGAAGTAACCTCTATAAATAGCTGGGCATCCACCTGGTAAATAACAAGCCTTGACTATTTCAAGGTCTTGGTCAGACAGGAACATCATTTTAGGAGAACAAAACTGCACCCAATGTGTACCGTCCAAATTAGCTTTTTATTTATTAAAAAAAAATTGGACCGGTTCTTCTGGAGATGTCAGTTGTCACCATATTCACATGCACAATCAGACCATGCAAAATTCTCTTTTCTGACACGTACTTGAAACTACCATTCAAAACCTCTTTTGTTGGTTTCCAAAAGAAATGTCCTGAACAAAGTCCTGACTTCCTGTCAGACAATGTCTGCTATGACTAAACCAACTTTGACCAATAGTTCTTCAACTAAGATCAAGATGCCCAAAAAGTTCTTCCACTTAAATCCAATTGCACTCCTTTCAGCCTTCAAGAGTGACAGAGTCCAACATACCATAATATTACAAGTGGTATCTCCAAATAGACCATACATTTGGCCCCAACAAGCACTTATAGCCACATGTCACGACATGTTGTCTGACATCACTTTCTCCACTAGTTTGAACCGCGCGCAAGATCCACAGAATCTGTACCATTGCAGCAATAACCCATAGACAAGACCTTTACCCTCCCTGTTATTGATAACCCAAGCTCCTCCTAAGCATGACCTCTTCAGCACCAGACAAAAAGATATGAATATTCTCACATGCTTAGAATGTTGAGTCACAACTTCACATATCTGTTGGCCATGTCCACACCTAAGTCTTTAGACTTCTTCAAGGGCACGAGTTGTCAAGACTTTTTGGAAGAAAGAGATGTCATGCACACCAAGCTCACAACCTCCACACATTCCCAGCTTTCTTAAAAGCCTTACTGACAGTCAGACAAACATTCAGATCAAATGAAGAACACTTCAAAGATAAAATATTCAGATCAGACCTCAGTATCTGAATTTCCTTCTGCCTTTCTATTCACTAGTAATTACTGAAACTAGTGAAGACTTCAATACAGTGGTCATGCATTCCCCAAGCATGCTACTGTAGACAGGATCATAATCTTCACATTCGAATCTACATAGTCAGAATTCCATTTTCTGACAAAAATGTTTATCCTCATTCCTCCATATCCATAATCTAAAACAAATGATGTTACAACATCATTTAGGACATCATCATTTCTTCCCAGAACCCAATCCACTGGTTCTTGATTTATAACTTCAGGTTCACACCTTCTGCAGCTCCATCAGGTTAATACAACCACCTGAACACTATAAACTCTCAACAATATCTGAATCAAAGTTGAGTGTGAAAAATAAACATAACTATTGCGAAAAAGTTGAGTGCGAACTTCCGAAAATGGTGAATATCAAGGTTTTAAAAAATGGTCGCGGTCATGTTGCGGTCGCATCGGTACAGGTGTCACAATAGTGATTACAGTCTTCACGGTATGAATTAACTATAATTTATTCTTTAATTTAAAAACGGTAATAACAATAACGGTATTGACACTCTTCAAAACTGTTTTGTCGCATCCGTTTTTGCAGTCGCGAACCATTTTTTAAAACCCTCGTGAATATAAGATTTTGAGAAACATATAAGGTGTATTAAGTCACCTCTATTGTATTTCCATAATAGGTATCAGCCTTATTATTGATATAGATTGGATTGAGTTTTATGATATTCATGATTACAAAATCTAGAAACACCCATAACCTTGTATTGTACTATAGTTATACAATACTATAAGGCCCAAAACCTTAGTTGATATTCCTACAATTATTCCTTATCTGACCACTAGACCCAGTAAGTGGACTAAGGTTTCCCATTTTGATCATTGCATTAGCAAAATCAGCTCCAAAACTTGCAGGGTTGTTAACATAAGAATTAACTTGAGAATCTGTGGAACCACCATTGAAAAGCACTTGATCAGAGTGAAAGAGACCCTTTTTGTTTTGCAAGTTCCTGTAATAAGCATTGTCAAATGTGTTTGGTGTGGTGGTATCTAGTGGGGACAAATTTGCATCACCACCACTGGTAGGACAATTTGCTTGCAATGATTTTGCAAAGGTGGGATCTATGTTGTTGTCGTTGTAAATTCTGTTTCTGAAAAATCTGCAGCTACCTTGACCAATTGAGTGTGATCCTGAAATATTTTTCAATTGAAAAGCATATAAGTAATATGGTAAAGCTAATTATACCATTGATCATGGGTCATATGTCTTTAGGCCTGCAATATATTATAATAATAATAATAATAATAATAATAATAATAATAATAATAATAATAATAATAATAATAATAATAATAATAATAATAATAATAATAATAATAATAATAATAATAATAATAATAATAATAATAATAATAATAATAATAATAATAATAATAATAATAATAATAATAATAATAATAATAATAATAATAATAATAATAATAATAATAATAATAATAATAATAATAATAATAATAATAATAATAATAATAATAATAATAATAATAATAATAATAATAATAATAATAATAATAATAATAATAATAATAATAATAATAATAATAATAATAATAATAATAATAATAATAATAATAATAATAATAATAATAATAATAATAATAATAATAATAATAATAATAATAATAATAATAATAATAATATATGTTTAATAAATCTGCATCTATGTATTTAGGAAATTACCTGAAAGAGCAACGATTTCTTTAACTGTGAAACCTTTGGCAGAGAAAGCATTAGTAAGGTCACTTAATTCAGAGGAGGGACCTGGCAAATCTGAGTTAGCTGAACTTAAACTTGCTGTTGTTGAATCCCTTCTTCCCAATTGAACATTCCAACTAGGTCCACCAAGCTAAAAATATATATGTTTAATATATTAAATATTCAATAAAGTTGATAATTCTCTAAGATATTGAATGAGGTGTGTGACCTATAATTTAAATTATTTATTTAAAAAATTTAAAAAACTCAAATATTATTAAATTTTACGTAAGTATATGATTTTTTATTATCACTTCGTCTAAAAAAAAATAAATTAAAGAAAAACTTGAAGAATATATACTTACAACAACAACCGAGTCTCTTGCTGCAACAGCAAGAATATCAGCACAAGAGACAATATTAGGACATAATCTCTCTACTTTGGACTTTATGGTGTCAATTACATTAAAACCCCTCAAGGAACCAGCATTTGGAGCTGCTGTTTTTTCACCTGTGAAACTTGATGTATCATCCAATAGTACTGATGCATCACAACCCTAAAAAACAAAAGTTATGTGTAAGAGTATGTAAACCACACTACAACACAAAATCTTAAAATTTTCACCGTTTAATTAAACTAAATAAAATCTCATAATTGAGCTTACATGGTTAAGCCTTAAAAAATAAAACTTTTAATTATCTTCACGGTTAAATAGTAGATAATTTACACGTAGCCTCAAAAAACTTAAAATCTTCTGGAGGTGTATTCAAAAAGATTAATTTTAATAGTCATTTTCATGATTAATCATTCAAAAAATTATCTAAGCATAATTGGTTGTAAAGTTTTGTTTAAAATAATAAGAAATAAATCAACTTGGTCGTAACAGATTGTTGACAATTTTGGAAAAAATGTCTATTTGTGCAAAGTCAACTTTTAGCCATTATTTAATATTTTGTATTATAGTACAAATTATTGAATCATATACACATGTTTAGAAAAATAAAGTTAGGGCTTATGATAATATTCAAATGTGTTAAATCAAGTCTTAAAAAATATTATCTGTGGTATAGAAAGAAAAGTAAAGAAAAAGAGTGAAAGTTGACTTGCTTGAACAAAGCAATCATGGAAATGAAGACGAAGTAGTGATGCACCCATGCGACGCTCGTTGATAACAGCAGCAAGTATTTCTAATTTAATGGTTGGAAGCAAAAGAGGACATGTTCTGCTATAAAAATTCGAGGACAATTGAGCAGAAGTTGTGCCAATAAGGCAAAAGAGTAAGAAAAAAACAACTTTGGTGATTGGAAAAGTCATGGTAATTGTTATTTAAAGGAAATATTATATAAGAGGATGCAAGGAAATCATACGTTTATGGTTAGTGCTTTGTGATTAAGGTCTTGAAATGTGTCACATATTTATATATATGAGAGTTGCCTAACTAATTTGTTTTATTCTCTTGTCAATACTTAGCCACAAGGAATTAAAAAACTATGCTTCATTATATATATATATATATATATATATATATATATATATATATATATATATATATATATATATATATATATATATATATATATATATATATATATATATATATATATATATATATATATATGGACTAAGATGAAATTAAGGAATAAATAATAGTCATTATATTAAATTGCATGATTGAGATTAAAACAGTGTTTAAGTGAGTCATGTATCATGTATAATTTTGATAAATAGGAATAACTATATTGAAGTACAGGACTAAGATGAAATTAAGGAATAAATATAGTCATTATATTTAAATTGCATGATTGAGATTAAAACAATGTTTAAGTGAGTCATGTATCATGTATAATTTTGATTAAATAGGAATAATATATTGAAGTACATCAAATAATATAAAGTAAAGTGGACTAAGATGTTAAAAATAAGTTTTAAATAGTTTTTTTTAATGTATTTTTATTTTAGTTTCTAAATTTTTTTATAGGGTTCCTAATTATTGATTTTCTTTTGAGATTAATCTCTGACGTTAAATTTTTGTTAAAAGAAATGATATGGTTAATGTTGATCATGTGGAATTATTTTTTTATTTTTCTCTTCTGACACTCTTTTATGACGGGGTCTCAATTGTTTTCCTCCAAAAAATGTCTGATAATTTTCAAATACTTTTTTACATTTAGTCCCTGTAAATTAGGGTTTCAAAATAGGAAAAATAGGAAGCTTTGTGGGAGGAGATTGCACGAGGAACACGACTAACGATTCAGTGTGGTACATGATTGAGATAGAAGAAGGTATCATTTAAATGCATTACACGATTCAAAAACGCAATTGAGGAAGACGAACGATTCAAGCAAAAGATTCTTCAATTAACAAGGTTCTATATTTTTCATTGTTCAAATCATAAGAGTTGGTTCTTTTTATTGTGTTTTCTTGAAATTTTCAGGAATGGGTTTTAGTTGAATTTTCATTATGAGAGTAACTTTGTTAGTGTATATCACATAAGGGGACACGAACATGTAGTAGACATTGATCATGATAAGTGAAGCTTTTTTGAAGCTACTGATATTGTGAAAGAGATTAATTAATTTGATCATTCATAATATTTATTATGGTGGTATAACAATGATGCATACATGCACAGTAAAATGGTTAGTGATAGTGATGTTGATGAGGTTTTTAAATTTGCTATTGAAATGAAACGTGTAGTGCACATATATGTTGATCATAATGTTACAGGCATAGATGGAGTTAATGTTGTAGAAGGTGAAGTAAATGATGGTGGCCATAATGTTGAAGAATATGAAGTACATGATGGTGGTATTAATTTTTAAGAAGATAAAGTAAATGATATCGGTACTAATGTTGAAGAAGATGAAGTAGGTGATATTGGAAATAATGTTGAAAAAGATGATATGAGGATGATACATCACAATCTTTGAGAAATTACAACCATCTACTTGAATTTATGGATTCACTTGATATGTTGTGTTCAAGTTCATCATCTCATATGAATAGCTTGCAACTTGACAGGCCTATGAATGTTGGACAATGAACAAAATCAGATAAATAACGAAAAATCAATAATGAACATTATCATTAACAAATAAACAATCAACATTGAACATTTACCCTGAATTTGTACATTTCCAATATGTACGTTTAGGATTTGCAGTGGAACATAAAATGTACAAATTCATTGATCATTTGCAACCACATACTGAGATTTGAAATAGCGTAGAGTTTCCAACTGAGAGTGTAGCCATGCTTCACTATGCAAAAATGGATGGCAACCTGAAACGAGGCATATTTGAGAAAAGGAAGAAGAAGAAGTTCAATTTGAAATATCATTTCCATTTTGGATTTAGTGCTCCTTTTTAAAACTATTATAATGTACTTTTTACATAATAAGAGAGTGTCAGAAGAGGAAATTATAAAATTAATCCCACATTAACAATGTTAGCCACATCACCTTTTTTTAACAAAAGTTTAATCTCAGGGACTAACCCCAAAAGGAAATCAATAATTAGTGACAACATCCAAAAAAATATTTAAGGACTTAAATAAAAAATACACCAACTTACAAAAATGAAAAGACTATTTAAGCCTAAAAATAATTCAAATTAAGAAATCAGTCATTTTTATAAAAGTTGATGCTGATAGTATACTCATAAAGGTCTTTCCATACATATAATTGAGATTTGAGTTGATTAAGAAAAACATTTGAGATATATTATGGTAGGTTGGTTAAAAATATATACTTCGAAAAAGTTCCACATCATTTAATTTTGTAAGAAAAGAGGAAGTTCATTTCTGTTTAATTTTATAAAGAAAGAGAGAGTTAATTTCTATATAATGGACTCAAGTTATTTATTATTAAATGATTCATCAAAAACACTTTATTCTTTTATTTGACTTTTTATATTTTCTCTTTTATTTTTAAGTTAGCGTGTTGTGAGAGGTAATTAAATATTTTCTTTGGAGAGTATGGTATATTAGAGTATTTCGATGGTTAAGGATAGTCGATGTGTTATAAAAAATTTCATATAGTATTATTCATTGGTTCTTATATGGCAATGATCATGATTTTTTCTGTGATTTTGGAGTTTAATGTTAAACTCACGTGTCGTTGTTGTGTTCCTCTTTTTTTATTTATATTTGTTTTTATTAACAATAGATATAAAGAGCCTTGGTTTGGTGGAGGTACAATTTTTTTAGAATGTTGTGTGGTGAAAGCTTTTACTACTACAAAAAAACATCTTTCGTAACGCAATTTCACCTCGCCCAAAGTATCTACTGTGAAAGAATCTATTCAATTATACTCTTTCCTTTTATTTTTATTTTTAAGCCATTATTCACCATGATTGTAACTTCCAATGGTGGTGGAAAGTGGCGCCTGGTCATGAGTTCGAATTCTATCACCTACAATTTTGTTTTTTATTTATTTTTTAGCCATTTTTGCCACGGTTGGAACTTTGAACTGTAGTGAAAAGATGTGTGTTATACGGTGGGAGAACTGACTTGGGTGTTTTGCGTTTGATCGTAAATGTTGCGGTTAGCAAGAGTCGCCACCGACTTTTCTTTTATCCAAAAGGAAAGGTGAAAAAGCACAGGAAAGACCTTTGAGATTGTTTCTTGAGTTCGGGGGGTAGATTATGAAAAGGGAAGGTATTAGCATTCTTTTCATCCATGGTTTTTCACGGGCTCTTATTTACTTGCTAGATCACTTGATTTTCTTTGAAATTGTGCTTTGTGTGGTTTTGAAAGTATTTTTGAAAAGATGCCATTGTTTAGGAAAACTTTGTAATGATTCTCGTTCGTAAGAATGTATACAAAGGTGTTGATCTTTTTGAAAATGTTTTCAAGTTTGAAAGATGTTTTTTGAAAGTGTAGGTGTTTGTTTTTTTAAAAATAGCAAGGATGTTTTGTTTCGAAATTGAGCAAGTAACTAGGAACTTTCTACCTACTCAAAAGTCTTTCTTGTTCATTTCCTCTTTCCTTTGACATTGTTATCTTACCATTGATTTGGTAAGTAACCCCATCTTTGGATGTAAACGGGACGGACGTGGGTCATCGTATAACCATGATTAGAAATGTTGCAAGATATCTTAGCATTTTCCTTTAGGGACTAAGATCGTTTTGGAAGGCAACTTTTGATAGCGTCATCGAGGGACTATGATCTTGTATCTTGCTTGTCTTTGCTAAGATACCTCAGATGCGTAATATGGTCATTTTATAAGGCAACAAAGTGGATTTATCCTAAGGGTGCAAGTGTGTAAATGTATTGGTTTACATGCTTTATTTGTCTTGATTAGGGTTTGCTATTTGTTGGTTTTAATCTTTCCATATAAACCCTAATTACTAGCAATTGGTACATAAAGCATTAAATTGCCGAAAATAAAAATAATAAGCTATTACAAAGCTTTAGGGGATGGGGTATAAATTTATGAATGGGGATTGCAAGAAATTAAAGTCCTAATTATCTATTACAACCATATTGAAATAATATACAAGAAATGTAAAAGGGACTTGTTTTTATTAAGAAATTAATTTACTTAAGAAAATATTTTTGATCTTTTTGTTCTAAAAGAAACAAAACATGTGAATATGAATTTTTTTTTGGTGTTTTTGGTTATTAAAGGAAAAAATAAGATAAATAAGAAAATGGAGTCAGAATCAGCACATTGCTGAAACGAGGAGGAACAGAAGTTCTGACTCTGATACGCTGCAGGAGAGAAAATGTTAGTAGGCAAGCAGAAGGTCAGAAGTTCTGGGCCTGGGTTCACCAAGTTCTGAGGTTGCTGGGAACAGAGGAAAACCTAAAAGCTCTGATTGTTGAGGGGGTTTAGAAGCTATAGTGTAGCTGGGAACCTAGTAGTTCATGTATCGCTGGCAATTCAAAAGTTTTGGCTATTTGAGAGAGTGAGGTGGTAATACTGTTGAGTAAGGTTGTTTAGAAGTTCTGATTTAGGGATATTGTTTTCCAGATAAATGGGTGAAAATGTCAAAATCTAAAAAAAAAACTTCTGGGGTTAAAACCCAAGACCCTTAGCACTAATGTCTTATGCGCACGCTTTGTACCACTGAGGTGGCTGTACATCCGGTATTAGAAACAAAAGCATAAACATATAACATAAAGTAAATTCTGATTATGAGCTTCATCTCTTTCTCCACACCAATCAGAGCATCTGCAGCTTAGTCATTTCTCAACAAAACAAAAATACACACATAACAGTTCTGGCAAGTTTCATTATGGTTTCAGAAACATAAAATGTCAAAACTGTAAATCAGAAACAAACATGTATCTGCTAAACCTAGTTTCCTTA